AATAAATTATAAATTATAAAAAATTATAGCGACTAGTACACAGGATCAACTTTGACTCATTGCTTACTTCTGTTGGTGTTCTTTACTGTAATCGTAGGTGCTTGACGAAGGAAAACTTGTCGAATTTGACGAACCTTACCTTTTACTCCAGAAAGAGGACACTCTATTTTCGCAAATGGTTGAACACACCAGCAAACACTTAGCGACAAACTTATATGAAGTGGCGCGCCAGTCATTCTTTTTGAGACACGAACTCAGCAATGATGACGACCTTCTGGATATGTTACCAAGAGCCAACGATGAATGTCCATTACAGGAACTGAATTCTGACGATTGCGGAACACCTTCACCAACTTTAAGATCAAGTTCCTCCTTAGAAAAAGAGAAATTACTTTATGAAACAACAGTTTGACTTACTGTGTATCAAACAACGGTTTGACTTACTGTGTATCAAACAACAGTTTGACTTACTGTGTATCAAACAACAGTTTGACTTATTGTGTATCAAACAGCAGTTTGACTTATTTAATCAGAGTATGCATTGAACTGTTTCACTTGTAAATGTTCTTTAATCCTTTAAATCCCAAGATCTGATTGTTTATTGTCCCTTTTAGTTGCTAAGAATTTTCCTTAGATTAGTTATGAGAATTTGGAGATCAAAATAACAACCTCTATCTGAGAAGTTTGAGTATTCTCGGTAGCTGTTCGTGGATGATGCGTGGATATTATTGGGAGAAGTTACATGTTAATCACTTTTGGCTAACATATTTACTATTTTTCAGAAACTGCTATTCATTTATCACAGCTCGGATTCCAGATACATACTAAGTAGGAAAAATTATACCTTCCGGTTTTATAATCTTATTGTAAACAAGTATGATTCTTTGAAGACGGACACTCCACCAATTTAAGCAAACGTTAGTTGGTTTAGATGTGCAGAATTGCCAAGCGAGGGCTTAACTTTGTTAAAGTGTGCGGGCCCTAATATTTTGTATATGAGTTACTTCAAGTATTCAATTTTCTTCTGAGATTACTTTCGTTATCACAAGACCGTCTGAACAACATCTTCTAGACTCTCTCCCATAATGAGCCCTTTCTTCTATAACTCCTTGCAAACGTTCCTCTCTACTGAGTTCCCCTTCGCGAGAAAGCCCCGTCTCTAAAAAGCCCCGTTTCTCGTAACTCCCCTTCCCTACTAAACTTCCTTTTTTCATAAATGCCCCGTTTCTCACAGGCCTCCTTTTAGCTAAAACCGTGGCCCTCACCTTGCCTCATTAATTTTTCACGCAATAACTGTTAACTATGGGTTACTTGTAAAGCACCCTGTAGAAGTCTACGTCGGTTGGACAAAACACGTTGGGCAGTAAAACAAGTTTTACAACAACTGTTCGCAGAGAGCTGCTCACGAGTTAAAATTAAAAATTGTTTTTTAGAAAATAGTACCCCCAGTAAAATAATTGCACAAGAGAATATCTTGAATTAGTATATACTCAAACAGTGGAGCGTTGAAGGCGCGCTCTGATTGGCT